TTCAGGGTAGATCTTGAAACGTTCTTTGTGACGATGAATGCTGTGCCATTCCTCTTCAATTTGTCATTCCCAGCATAGTACATCATATGATTGTCTGATTCAAAATGGCCCAAACAGTCCATTTCAACTCACTAATGCCTGTTGTTGTTGTTATGTGCCGTCGAGTCGGACCTGACTCATAGCAACCCCTCCTTGGGTTTTCGAGGCAGTATCACTACGGAAGTAGATTGCCCAACCTTCCTTCTGAGGATATTGGTATTTATGCATTCCATTTCATTTTTGAATACTTCCAATTTTCCTACATCCATACTTCATACATTCCATGTTCCGATTATTATGTATGTTTGCAGCTGTTTCTTCTCATTTTGAGTTGTGCCACATCAGCAAATGGAGGCCGTGAAAACTTTACTCTATCCACATCATTAAGGTCAGCTCTACTCTAAGGAAGGAGCTTTGATAACATAGTGCCTAAGGCATTTGACTGCTAACGAGAAGGTTGGCAGTTCAAATCCACCAGGCACTCCACAGAAAGAATAGTAGGCAATCTACTTCTATAAAGATATACTGCCTCAGAAACCCAAAGGGTGTCATTATGAGTGAGAATTGACTCTATGACAGTGAGTTTTTTTGTTTTGTGTTTCTTTTTCCTACTCTGAGGAGACAGCTCTTCCCCAGTTGTACTTTGACTGCCTTCTGACTGGAAGGGCTCATTTTCCAGCACAATATTGGACAATGTTTCAGGCCATTCATAAAGTTTTCCAGTAATATATCAGACAGTGTTTCACTGTTATTCATGAGGTTTTCACTAGCCAATTCTTTGAGAACTGGATGGCCCCTTCTTTCTTCCAAGTCTGTCTTACTCTGGAAGCTCCACTGAAACCTGTCTACCATGGGAGAACCTGCTGGTATTTGAAACACTGGTGCCATAGCCTCCAACATCATAGCAACACACAAGCCACTACAGTACAACAAACTGACAGACGAGTGTTGGCCAATGAGCATTATGCACCTATAAAAAGAATAAGAAAGATCTCTATAAAGTAATATGGACAGATGCTACCTTTGAAATAATAAAAAAAGGGATAAATAAGAATGAAAATATTAAGAAAGGCCTATATGACACTGAAAGCAGTAACTATAAAGGAAAAAATTGTTCAGTTTAACTATATATAAGAAAAGGCTTTCACATTCTTTGACCTAACATTACCATTTCTAATAATTCATCCTAAGAAAATCTTTGGATAATAATTTATCCTATAAAAATCTTTGCGCAATTGTATAAAGATGTATATATGTAAAAGCATTAACAACAGCATTGTTTATAATAGTGAAAACTTGGAAACAGCCAAAATGTCAATCAAAGATAATTAATTAAATGCTAGGAGTTCCTAGGAGCTCTAGTGCCATGGTGCCTAAGGCATTTGACTGCTAACCAGAAGGCTAGTGATTTAAACCCACCAGTCACTCCTTGGAAGGAAGATTGGACAATTTACTTCCGTAGTGATAAAGCCTCAGAAACCTAAGGAGGGGTCACTAAGAATCAGAGTCAACTTGACAGCAGTGGGTTTGTTTTTTTCTTTTCTTTTCTTTTCTTTTTTTTTTTTTTTTTTTGAGGAGTCCCTGGGTGAAGCAAACAGTTAATGCTCAGCTACTAGCCAAAAGATTGTCTATTCTAACCCACCCATAGGCACCTTGGAAGACAGGCCTGGCAATGTGTTTACAAAAGCAGATTGGTTTCACAGCATTGAAACCCCTATGAAGCAGTTCTACTCAGAGACACATGGGATTGCCTTGAGTCAGAATTTACTTGGTGGCAACTAACAACAACAACATATCTATATAAAAAATAATAAATGTAGACATAGATTTCTAAAGACATAGAAAGATGTTATCAAACAATACTCTTAATTTGATCCCATTTTGTAAAAATACATATTTACATGTGCAGAAAATTTCTAGGTGTGGATAAACATATTCACACTCTTTATTTGTGGGTACTTCAATAATCTTTTTTTCCCTCATTACTCCTCTTTATTTATGTACATATATTTATACATGCATGTATGTTTGTATAATGAGTATTTCTAGTATAAAAATAATAGAATTTTTTTCCTCAATTAGCCAGTATAATTTCTCAAGATCCCCCTCTTTCGTATTTTCCTATCCAATTCTAAGTTCTTTGAGGATAGAGTTGTGTTTCACTATTTACTATGTTATTTTCCTTAGGTCTGCTTAGTAAGGACTGATTAGCTAGTCATGGTCTGATTTCCTCAAAGCCTGCTTTGAAGTCTGATGTAACATTATTAACCTTTTAACCAGATGACATGATCAGAAGCTTGGCCAAGGCTAGTACAACTTGGCTATGAGAGCAGTGTGGCTTTAACAGCTGTCATCCCACTGCTCCCCTAGGCTGAGTTGGCTGACTAGCTGGCTGGTAACTGGCTAATAGGGCTGGGCCTTTTCTATGTAAATTCTTTCATGTTCAAGAGGCACTTTCATGTTCAAGAGTAGGCCCCTTTCAGGTTGAGTTGCTGTCTCTTAATAATATCTGTATAGCTATGCATCCCTGTCCATGCATATTCTCAAAAACTCTCAGTACTGTTAAGAAAAATAAAGGAAAAGCAGTAAAAAAAAAAAAAGAAAGAAAGAAAGATGACAAATAACTGGAAGAAGATGAAAGGAGAACAGAAGGGGGATAAGAGAATGAAAATTCACAACCTTAAGCACAGCAGGTTGCTAAACCCAACCTAAAACACTACCCGCACATGATAATACCTACTGTTGAACATGAAATCACTTTGCCGTGGAGTTCTGCATAAACATTGGTTTTTCCAGGGACCTGTGTAAGCTCTGATGGCCATACTGGCAGCCTTCCAGGTTAGAAACTTTACAGACCTCTGAGAGAGTCTGCTCTTATAGGCAAATCATTACAGGCTTGTTGCAAAGATGAAATCAGATAATAGATTTAAATATGTTCTATAAAATATAAAATAATATACAAATGGTGTGTGTTCTTTTTGTAAGCACCCGAGGGCACTGACAGTGGTTTAATATTGTACAATAGCGTCTTCATGGAAGTTTGGAAAAGATTTTAAATACCTTTATCTAGACAAAGTCAAATCCATATACAAAAGAGAGTATTGAAAGAATGGATAATCAAACTATGGTACATACACACAATGGAATGCTATGCAACCCTAAAGAATAACATAGAATCTGTAAAACACTGCATAACATGGATGAACATGGAGGACATTATGCTGAGTGAAATAAGTCAATCACAGAAGGACAAATATTGTATTAGTCCGTTATTGTAAAAAATC